AGTTTTAAAAGCCGCGTGGATATCGCGATATAGAAGAGGCGGGAAGTAGTAGCTGCCACTGCTAATAAGATAGAGGAAGTCTAAGAAGATTAACTCTATAATACTACGCCTACTATAGTTTATAAAGACCTGTCCGTTACCACGACGGGGAGACTAGGAGCCCCCCTAACCTAGGGGGTAGCGCGTTATCGTACGACGATACTATTAAGATTATAATAAGAATAGGAGATATGCCTTTCTATTAACTAAGCTAAAGCTCTATTATACTACGCGATCCTAGACTTAGGATCGTTAATCTATATCTTTAATAATCGAGGCCGTTTTACGGCCGTTAGACTACCCACGGTTAATCTATTAACGCTTTAGGTAGGTACTTATAAGGCTTTTATCCTCGGATACGGAGACGTTAAGCTATGTGTATAATTCTTAGCGGGTATAAAGAGGCTGCTATGCCTCCGTGATGTTATATACTATAAGGAATATATCACTAATATCGTCTCGGAATACTAGCTACGCCTATAAGACTACTACTAGGATACCGTAAACGATACTATTGTTAGCTCCGCTAACGACCGGCCTATCTATAAGCTACTAGATATCTACGGCTAGTATATAATCGAGCGCGCGGAAGCCACGGCCGCTACCGCGTTCGTGGTCTTAGTAAGGCACCCCCGCGATAACCCGTATAGAAGATCACGATAACCGCAGTAACCGTAGAAGACTACGGTATAATAGTGGCATAAACGCCTTAGCTATTACAGCACCGATACTCTTATAAAGATCGTTAACGCTATTTAGGAGGTAAGGATAAAAGGACTACGTATAACGGACTATAACGCGCCTAGATAGTCGTAAGTGCCTACGTAGATCCGGTGGATACTATCCCTTTACCCGTTAAAGCCCGGTGAGGCCCTAGCTATTAATTTTCACGATCTAGAAGAGGCGGAGCAGTTAGTGGGCGGATAGTATAAGTCTATTATATTTATTATAGACATGTATATAGGTTATACGTGGGATTACTACCTATAAAAGAGAGACTAAGGCTTTTTCCTACACGCTCTACAGCATATTTTTACCCTGCTTAAGACTTAATTCGATATTAGGCCACGTGTTCTACGGGCTGATTCTAAGATATTTGAATACCCAGAAGTCGTTACTTTCCTCGCTGCTAAGGGGGTAGAAGGCTAGCCGTCGGTATTATATTTATAGGATTAAAACGGCATAGTAGAACGGATTAAAGGTATCGTTAAGAGAAGGGCGAGGGCTATAAGGATTAGAGCTAATCTGCCTATATCTATCTGGCCTAAGATCTTTAAGACGGCTATATATCTGTATAACAGAACGCCACGATATATTAATAACTGGAAGACACTATACGAAGCCCTGCGCAGCCGTTAACCTAACCTTACGCACCTACGAGCTTACGCCTATAAAGCCTTTATAAAAACGCGCGATACCTAAGCTAAAAGGAACCGCCTGTAAAGGCTAGAACCGAAGGTATAGATCGGCTATTATATCAGATACTAATCCTCGAATAGCTTCCGTATTTAGCTACTATACCTAACGAATATTATTACTATAAGAGATATGGTCTTTAATGAAAATAAGATATTTAACGGTAGGATTACAACGCTATAAGCTATGGCTTCCGCCGAGGAAATCGGGGAACGCCTATAATCTATCCGTATCACCTATACTATAACCGCGAATAGGCTGCTATTAAGGGGTATAGCTATAGACGTGTTAGATCTTAAGTCGGAAGACTTTTACGCTACTGCTATTACTACGGACAAAGGCGAGGCCGTCGCTATTACTACGAAAGAGGCCACTACTATTACTACAGACTATACCGCTATTACTACGGGCACCGCTATTACTACGGATACTACTATTTTTATAGGAGAAGACTATACTACCGCTATTATTACGGGTAAAGGCGACGCTACTGCTATTACTACGGATAAAGGCGAGGCCGTTATTATTACTAGAGAGGGGCTACTACTATTACTATAGACGAGGTTCTAAATCTATAGTCTAATAACTAGGCTATAGATTTAAAACCTCGTAACTCCGACGATACCACTATTACTACGGGCGAGGCTACCGCTATTATTACGGATACTTTACGGTTTACTACTACGAGGTTTAAACCGTTTCCCACGCTTTTAATATCCCCTAAAGATCCCGTGCGCGCGTTCCTTATAGCGTTAGCGGTGGTTAGGGGCGCTAAGGTGGAAGAACACGATAACCACTAACGGATAGCTATAGGTGCCTTTAGGGGGTGCCTATCGGCTATACTCCTATCGGCTGCGCGCCTATTACCCGCGCGCTAATCTATCGCGAGAACTATCGTAAGTCTATACATAACCGAGAAGGTCTAGAACGATAACGCCTAAAAGGCGTTCTTTAACGCTAGCAGGACTTATAACCCTATACACACGAGGAAGTAAACTATTAACGACGACGATATCGGTGCTATAGATTCCCCTTATACCTCCTAGCCGTTATCGCTATTGTATATAACCCGCGAGAATCTCCCGGCTCTACTAAACCACCACCGCGATATACGCCTCTATCCGTTACGGGAGCGGTGGTTATAGACCGAGGGGGAAGACTTTAAGGGGCACCGATAGATAGGCTACTAGTAGGAGGTAGGTGGTGATTAGGCTAATAAGTAATAAGTCCTCGCCTATAGATAGGTATACACCTATAAATTTAATAAGGAGGGCACCCTCCTTAAGTGTAAGGCACGGCTTATAGTCCGAGGGGATTAATAAAAACGGTTAAAGACTAAAGATAACTACGCCGTAACGCTAGCCTCGCGGTCTTTCTGTATACTAATAGCGATCGCTACCCGATTTAACCTGGAGATAAGGTAGTTCGATACCGTTAACACGTTCGTTAACGCTAGCCTTAAAGAAGAGGTATTTATACAGATGTCGTAAGGCTACGAAGTACTAGGTAAGGTCCTGCTACTACGGAAAGCCCTCTTCGGTTTAAGGGTATCGCCACTACTATAGTAAGAGGAATATAGCGGTACGCTATAGAGGATAGGCTTTATAGCCGTCCTTAATAACCCCTGTATTATAATCCGTGACAGTTTAATCCTATTCTTCTACGTTAACGACATCAGACTTATATACTATAGAGACCGTAAGACGGACGCCGACGACCTCGAGGCTGCCCTTAAGCGAAGCTATAGGTTATTAGGAGGCGAAGAAATCCGTTAGTTCCTGGGAATTAAGGTCCTAAGGGATAGAGCCACCTATAGGTTATAGCTATTTTAGTCCTCCTACGTGGAGAAGATCGCGGTTAAATACTACGTAGATATACTCTACCGAAAACTATTAAAGGTCCTATTATCTATAGAGCCGGTAATGCCCCGAGACGGCACCCGCGCGTTGATTCCCGAGGTCCGTTAGTATTAGGGAATAATCAGTTCTATCTTATATGCCGTTATCGTGATAAGACCCGATATCGTGTTCGCCTGCTTAAAGCTTTCCCAATATAACGTTAACCCCTCCTCTAACCACCTTAAGAGGGCTTAATAAGTGCTACTATTCCTATACTATATAAGACACTATTACCTAGAATTCGGCGGGGATAGGCTTTTCCTAATAGTAAGCGACGCGTCCTTTAGGGATAATCTAGACCGTAAGAGTTCGTAAGAATATACGATAAAGCTCTTCGGCGGTATTATTAACTGCAAAGCGGGTAAATAACTAACGGTCACGACGTCGTTAACAGAATCGGAACTACTCGCTCTTATAAAGGCCGCTAAAAAGACGTTATTCGTTAGCCGGATATTAAGGGATTTAGAGCTTCGGCTAGACTACTAATAGCTATAGCTATACTATAATAATTAATAGACTATTGACCTCGTTAATAAGAAGGCATAACGCCTGCGGATAAGGCTACGGCACGTCGATATATATAACTAGTGGGCGCGCTAGTTAGTATAATAAGGTCTCTTTAACTTTATATACGTTAATACGAAGGGGATTCTCGCGGACGGATTAATAAAGGTATTACCGGAGGTAGGGATTCAAAGACTATAGTAATAGCTTAATTTAACTAATTAAAAGGATCGTATTAAGTAGTCTAAACGACTACACGAAGAGATTAAACGCGCTAAAGCGGCTATAACGAAGGCCCCCGAGAGTGTAGTAGATCCGATGGATATAGATCTAATTAATTAGATCCAGCTAATCAGGATCGAGGAACTAATTAAGATAGAATTAAATTAAACGGTTAAATAGGGCGGATTTAGATCCCTTTTACGAGGGCGTTTTCCTTTGACTGTTAATTTTACGATGGAAAAGTTAAAAGTGTTTAGTTTAAACCGAAGCCTTTAAGTAGTTAGTTAACCTGGGAAGACCCACCTTAACTACGGGGGTGTGTTGTATAGGCAGGACCACGATATAGTCTATAGGGGATCTAGGGGGGATCTACTCTATAACTAAGGGCTCCGGATATCGAGGACTTTAGGTATTAGGATATAATAAGGGTGGATACCGGAAAAGACTGGATAGGATCTAAATGATATAGTACTCATAATAGAGTCTTCACCACCTAAATTAAGGGCATAAGATACTCTCCCAGATATAACTTGATATAATATACACACACGAGATTTCTGCTCTACTAAGTTAATCATTGAAGTGCCTTTTGACGTGCGACACCTGACGGTCTAACACAGTTATAATAGACAACAATTGCCTTAATAAATTTTTGACCTATTTTATGACGATTTTGACTACGCTTTATCTGACATGTTCTGTACTCCGTACTCCGTAACTCATTGAAGGTCACGTGACACTACTTCCCGTGCCCCAGAGAAGCGGACCCACCCCGGGGGCCTGGGTTGCCCTAAGTTTTTTGACGAGCCGCACACCTAACCCCGAACTTTTTACTTTACTGCTGGACAGTGGACGGAATTTGACGACGACCATCACGACAACCTCGACCATCCACCACATCCCTCACACCAAGCAGGCAAAATGGGTCGCGTTCGCACCAAGACCGTGAAGAAGTCCGCCAAGGTCATCATTGAGCGGTACTACCCCAAGCTCACCCTCGACTTCGAGACCAACAAGCGGATCTGCGATGAGATCGCTGTCATCGCCTCGAAGCGCCTGCGCAACAAGGTCAGAAGGCAACCACGTTGGAGTGTAGGACAACACGATGAAAAGAGTCGTTTGAGCTGATATGTGGATGCTTGAATTCAGATTGCCGGCTACACCACCCACTTGATGAAGCGGATTCAGCGTGGCCCCGTCCGTGGTATCTCCTTCAAGCTGCAGGAGGAGGAGCGTGAGCGCAAGGATCAATACGTCCCCGAAATTTCCGCCCTCGACTTCACCCAGAACTCCGAGAGCGGTCAGCTCGATGTTGACGTCGAGACCAAGGACCTGCTGAAGCACCTCGGCGTACGTCACACCTGCCAGTTCTTCCATGCCAGAAGCTAACACCAGTTCTTTTCCCAGTTTGATGGCATCCCTGTCAATGTCATTGCAGTCACGCAAGCACAGCTTCCGGAACGTGGCGGACGGCGGTTCGGCGACCGCCCCCCTCGCCGGGACTAAGCATTAACGAGGATGGACGAAGAAAGGATGATGGTCTTTACGGGTCACACATTCAAGCCCGCTGGTACAGCAACTCACCTAATGGTAGTGAGTGCATACTAGAGCCCAATTCGAAAAGTTTTATACCCACCAGGTGTCGCCGATTCCTTTAGATATACTCTTAAGGATGACGCTTGATTGCCAATTATCTCTCCACCGCAAACAAGTGACAAGCTCGCACGTCGACGAATAGTCTACAAGGGACAGTCACGAGTCGGTAGTCTTATAGTCTGATGCAACCAGCAAGGACTATTATGACGAATCTATTCCGCGTGTGGAGGTCTGTTGTGGGCGGTTCTCCGCCGGACTTGGTGGCTATGGAACGTGCAGATCGCAAGTGATGTCGCGATTCACCATCCCGTCCTATGTTATGATGAATTGCCGCCCTGCCCCTTCTCTACTTTCTTTTTCCCTGTCGCCGGCTTGTATCCCTCAACCATTAGGTGTGCAAAGTCTCCGGTATCATGCTCACGAGAATCACTGTCCAGTATGCTGGGAGGAGCGTCGACATCTTTCTCTTGGATCGTAAGCTGTTGTATCGATGTCACTATGCTGGCAGTGCCGACGTCGCCTCGTTCCAGGGCGAGGGCCGCTGAGTTTTCCGCCTCTTGCATGTCGTCTCTTCGGGGAGCAGCTTCCCTGCTGACGTGCTCAATGGAGCCGTCCTCGCCTAAAAGCTCTATTTTGATGTCTGGGAGACCGGCCCTCTCCCATGCCGCAGTCTCGTTTAGCTGTAGCTTGACATAGAGCGCTCTCCTTTTGCAATCGTCTGAACACCATCTTTCGGATTCCCTGCGGTCGACAATGTCGAAGTTTGCCTTGCCCACATTGATCAGCTTCCAAGGCCCACCCTTGGACGGCGGGGGCTTCGGATGAGGGCAAAGCGTGTAGCCACAGAGTAGGTTGGCGTTGCGCTCCTCGATGAGGTCATCGTAATCCCCGGGTTGGAAGAGGCGGACGTGCCTCTTGAAATCAGCGACATCGGAATCTGCGGGGTTGGAGGCGGAGTATTCGGCGCCCTTCTGCAAAGGATACTCGGATAAGAGGATGACACTCTCGAGAATCTGACGCTCTAGATCTTTGCGGTATTGAAGAATCCGAGCATGTTGCAAAGCAATCTCTTTGGCGCTCGCCCTAGGGTCATGCGATTGTCCGTGAAGGGCATTTGTGAGGATGGGTTTCAAGGGCTCCATCTCGGTTGTCATGGCCGTGGTGGGATCCTTCGCTACTTGAGCGCTTGCATATTGGCCAATATAAAACGCTCGGTGGTGAGAGAACGAAACAGCTTTTGGGGATGCGGCAATGATGTGACAGGGGCATTTGCCTCCGTCAGTTGCTACTCTGTAACAGAATTTATTTCCAGCTTCTTTCTGTTGGGATATTCTGTACCCCGTGATACGGAGTATGTATATCAGATGCCCACAGCCACCTCATCGAGGTATGATAAACCATATTGTGTCAGACGTATAGAGTACCTCGGTCCTATATATCCACCCTTATTTCCCCTGCTTTTTCCGTATAGTTAGATATCCCCGTGAAGTATTATAAACTTTACTTAGATGAATATGTATATAATTCCGCATACCTTATTTATATTCTGATAGTTATAAGCCCGGCGTTCTAATAAATAAAGCTATTCCGATTAATTCTATAGCTTTTAGGCACTTAAAATGAGCCTTAAGTCTATAACGGGTAGTTTAGTAATACTAGTAACGTCCGCCTACTTTAGTTTTATTTAATCGTTTTATTATTTCGATTATACTACCGTTTAAAGCGTTTAGTATAGTTAATTAACCTTTTCGTTTATCCTATTCCACTACTTTTTATTAGTATAATAATAGCTTCCACGGTAATAGTGCCTATTATAGGCCTCGTAACGCTTACTACTCAGAAAGACTAAAGGCCTTAGATTAAAGCCGTGATAACTATCGCGTACTCCTACGATATCGCTAACCTCGTTAATCCCGATCTTAAAAAGGCTAAACGGCCTAAGCGCTATATTTAAACCGATCCACCGAAACCTCCTATAATAGCCGAAGAACGTAACGCCACTAATTAGGATATACTATTTAAGATTTAGTAGGTGGAAGAGGATCGGTATAAGGCTAAAAAGAGGGGGATCTAAGCACTCCACGACTATATCGCGAAGATAGTTAGCCTTACTTTGAAGAATTAGTACGCCGGCTATAAGGAAGTAAGGGATATATTAAAGGCCCTGAAGTTATACTTTAAGCCGATAAACGCCGCTTACAAGTTACTAATTAAGAGACGCTAGGACGAATACCTCTAAAACGTTAGGCGTATACCCTATAAGCGCTAGCTAGAAGACTTTATTAAGCTATACCGTGACGCCGAGACGTATAAAGTTAGAGAATACGATACTAAGGAATAATAGATAAATGGCTTCTTTAACCCTATCGGCAGCGTAGCACTAGAATAGTTACAGGGACGCTTTATAGAGCTTATTAGGTTAGAAGAGAAGGACCTACCATCGATTTAATTTATCGTGGAGGAGTATACGATATAGCTTTAACGCCGCTACCCGTACTGACTCGATAAAAAACCTACCGTATTATCCTTTTATACGGTAACCTTCCTAGATAAGGATAAAGAAGGTAAGGATTAGCGGGTATAATCGGGATAATAAGATAACTAATAGTCCTCTTTATAGTAGAAGAAAGAGTAGTTATACGACTACCGTACTAAAAAGAGAAGTAAATATAATTATAAGCCTTTATAGAAGTGCCTAAACGTTAACGAGGTATATAGGAAGAAGGGATATATACCTTTAAAAAGGATCTTAGAACGCTATAACCGGATTATTAAGACCTAGGATAATAAACGTTAAAAAAAGATTCCGAGAAAATATTAAAAAGGACGCTAAAAGCCTGAAGACAGGTACTAAAAACGACTCTTAGAAGTTATAGCCGAAAGAATCGTTAAAGGAGGTATCTAATTTCGTGGATAACCAGGATAAGGATTCCGATAAGGAGTCCTATAGGATATATTCCCTTCTGTAACTAAACGGTAGCGTTAGCAGTAACCTCTTTAATTAACTGCTAATCGATTCTAGCACCTTAAGATACATCAGTAACTAATAGCACCTACTATAGGATTTTAAACCTGCTTTTAAAGAGCGTTATTTTTAAACGGGTAGTAGAGAGACTAAGCCAGTTAAGGGTTATAGTAGGTTATAATTAGAAGTGGACGACGAATATAGTAATCCCTTCGTTTTAGTGCTAAATCGCGTCGCTTTTATATAAGACTACCTAATAACCTTAATCGCAACTAGAAGACTAAAGGAATAGGGTATCGTTTTTAATTCCGGCCTCGAACTACTAAAAGTAGTCTCTAAAAAGGGCTTATTAGCCCTATCTCTTAATAAGGTTAACGAGTAGTACGCTCTAGTTCTAATAAACCGTTAATAATAATAGCTCGTCAATAGTAGCTTCTTTCATAGCTCCATAGCACTAATTATAAGCGTAGCTGACGCTTATTTATAGCACGAGAGGCTAGGGCACGTCGGCGCTACTACCCTCGAAAAGATGGGGAATGCCCTCGCCGGTAGTATTATTAAAGAAAAAGGCCGTTTTATAGTGGATTATAAGGCCTGCGCCCTTAGTAAGGTTAGGAGGCTAGTATCGAGGAGGCTAACCACGCACCGGCCAATAAGGCCGTGGTAGAGGGTAGAGGTTGATTTCTTTAGCCTTAAGAAGGCCTATAACGGTATAAAGATCGCTGCCCTGTTTTTCGATCTATACATGTCAGCACATAAAAAAGGTACCTAAAAGATATGTGTGTGCATTTAAGAAGAGTAAAAGATGCTCTGCGGAAATATCTAACTATAAGGTAAAAGGAGGGGAAATCGATGTAGATACATCGGTCGGAAGTACTCCATCCGAGTATATAAATAGCGTAAGTCACACCGCGATAAGTGTCTGGTGGTATCTAACACACCTCCCTAGAACTATGGGATTAATCCTGACTATTCTGCTTAATTAAAGCCGTAAATCTAGGGTAAAATAGAGCCTAGATATTAGTCCAACAGTTAAACGGCTTATTAAAAAGCGCGCTCTTTTTATACCTGAAAATATTAAAAATGTGTAGAAATAGGTAGTTAAATTAACCCTAAAACCACATTAAAAACGGGTACCCAAATAATAATCTCAAGGGCATTAAAATAACGGTTAATCTAGGCTATAGATTTCAAACACAGCACCGCGCCTCTTATAAATTACCTTAAGCCTCCTAGCTTAGGACCTCTATTCCTAATAGATATATAAACGCCATATATTTCTACGGGGAAAATACCTTAGTTAGCCCACCGCTAACTATCTCGTTTATAGAGATCTAATTAATCAGGACCTTCTTCTCTATAGTATAAGGAGGGAGGTCGACGATTACGTAAGGGTCTCCCTATAAAAGCAGGCGTTTAAGAGGTTAGCTATAAAGCAGGAATAGTAGTAGTAGTAGTAGTATTTTTTGAAGATCTTTAACGATATCGGATAAGCGGAAGGGACGAAAGTCACGAAGAGCAGTGGAAAAATAAGAAGGTAATAATAGGATTATAAGATAGGATCTCTGCGCGCGTATTATATCTTCTTCGGATCAAAAAAGGGATTAAGATAAGGGATTTAGAATAAAGAATAAAGAAAGGAAAGAACCGAACCGAGGGAACGGGTTAATATCTTTTATTCTTTGTAAAAGGATCGATATCGTAATAGTATTATAATAAAGATCGATATCGTAGTAATATCATAATCCTTTATATTGATATTATTATTATTACTAATAATATCCTTCGAGTATATCCTTCGTACTCGAATAAAGGGTATCTTCCCCGTAAGCCTTAACCGTTCACTTCCGAGTCAGTTTATCTGATACGAGTCAGATAAAGGATATAAAGGATTACGATATTACTATGATATCGATCTTTATTATAATACTATTACGATATCGATCCTTTTACAAAGAATAAAAGATATTAACCCGTTCCCTCGGTTCGGTTCTTTCCTTTCTTTATTCTTTATTCTAAATCCCTTATCTTAATCCCTTTTTTGATCCGAAGAAGATATAATACGCGCGCAGAGATCCTATCTTATAATCCTATTATTACCTTCTTATTTTTCCACTGCTTTTCGTGACTTTCGTCCCTTCCGCTTATCTAATATCTTTGAAGATCGTTAAAAGGTTATAAGCCCGGAAAAGCTCGACTAAAGTCTCGAAATAACGTATTCTTTAAATACCTACGGTCGTAAGCCAAAAGGAGAATTCCCCGATTCCAAATAACAGTCCCTATTCCTATCCGATATTCCTCTTTATATACTACCAACACTACCTACCTACCTACCTACTAACCTACCTGCCTATATATCTATATCTACGATCCTATAGTTTAATCGGTCGGTCGGCTTAGTCGTATACTTATAAATCTATGGAGTCACAAAAATTATAAAAGCCTACGATTACGTGAATTAAACGGGTATACTATTCTTTACGTACGGATACTATAACCACTATACTACGAGGGTTATTCTAGTTATAATACTAGGATATCTTCGTTACTTATAAATCTTTAGTTTTACCTAAGATTTCCCCTGTATATTTTCCGACCGTGGAATCCTATATACATATCGTGTTTTCTACGCGACCGTAAATCCCCTCGCTCCGCGAAGACCTATTGTAGGATCCTCGCGAATAAAGGAATTTAACCGGGCTTACTTTAGATCCGCCGGAATAAAGGAATACTGTCTTTAGAAATAAAGGAATTCTGTTATCCGCACGTACGGGTATCGTTTTCTTTATCTATAAAGCTATTTTTTCCTCTTCCAGAATGAAGAACTATATACCGGTTCCACTTTAGACCCGTATAAATAAAGATATTATTATAGTAACTACGTCTATACTTAGAATAAAGAAAATAATAAAGAAAAGAACTATCTTCCTTATTTATAGTATAACTTCGTTAGTTCTTATCTAAAATAAATAGAATAAATACTGTTTAGGAGCTCTTAAGATACCCGCGCAGGCTAAACTTAAGGAAATTAACGTAAAGAAGCTAAAGAGTAGTCAGGACTACTAAACCTAGACGATAGCTATACGTACTTACTTTATATATAAGGGAAAGCTTCTAAAAGAGCTT